TTGAATAGCAGCCCAGATTATGTCTATGCTGTGGACATGATCTCTGTGTCCTAGACTGATTCTAACCCTGGCTCCAAGGGTAGCCAGAAGCACAATCTCTAACTGCCCCTAGCCAGGCCTCTTGCGGGAAAGAGAAGGGACATTATAGTGATGATGAGAAAGGGAGCCTGATCTAATTGTTATGTGACTTTGTGCCAAAGTGAACTGTGCACTCTACAAAATCGGAGTTAGCCTCATAGCAGGAGAAAGGTTTAGTGGAGGCTTATTGGCGTCTTTGGAGATGGGGTACATTAGCTGTGGTCATAAAGAAGGACTGTTACAAGATAGACTGGTCAGGAGAAAAAAGATGACTTATCTGATCCTGACTGCCACAAAGGAGCAGTTATGACTCAAGGTATTTGAGTTGGATCTCGTTTAACTGGTAGCTTGCCAGTTTAATGTCTTCCTAAAGATAACACGGCAATACTTTCTAATCAACTCAATTTGTTATTACAGTTTGTCAGCCTATTACTGTATAGGCTTTTGGAAAAGGTGTTCCATGTTCCTAAAATATCTATATAACACTCTTACACAAATTACTCATTAATGTCACTGTCATAGATAAGTTGCTAAAACCATTCTGCATTAGCACTGAGGCAAATCCCATGGGTTTTAAGTAGGATGGCTTATTTTATTTGTTGCAATTGTGTGGCGGTTCGCCAAGATATTTTTAACAGGGAACTCTAGAATCTGCTGGCGTTAAAAATGACGATAAATAACCACAAAGACAGCAGGGGAACACCTCTAACTAAATAAAAGGGAGAGAGAGAGAGAGAGAGAGAGAGAGAGAGAGAGAATGAGAGAGAATGTCTCCAGGCTCAGGTGCTGGGCCAGATTCCAGGCTGATGCTCACTAGCAATCCTGATGATGGCCATTGTACCTACCACCAGAGAGAGTTGCTACACTCTGGGAGTGACCTGATGTCCCATGATGAAGCAACCTGTACCCATTTGGGGCAGTGTCCCTCTGATCATGGTCCACAGAGCTGCAGCAGTAAGCACCCTAGTAAACAGCAGTGTCACAGGAAGTGCTTCTCCTTAGATATTTAAAGCATGTTTTGGAAGATGGTTTCTTAAGGCCTTTGATAAGCTAATGCTTTACCCACAAACATTTACTAGTGTAAGACATGAAAAATAAGAATAACCAGCACAAGTTCATGTGGCTGGGTGTCAGGTCGGCATTTCCTCATTTATTCTCTGCGCATGTGTGTGTGGTGCCGAGGGTTGAACCCAGGGCCTTCGATTGTGCTGAACAAGTGCTGTACCACTCAGCCACGCCCCACCCCTCATTATTCATCCTAACAACACTATGGGGTGCATGGTATTATTAGGTTTTGTCTTGTTTTATTTTTCAGATGAGATGAAACAAGAAAACTAAGGGTAAGTCACACAGCACGATGTGACTGATCTCATGGCCATCTGACCCTGTGTTCTCATTATGCTAAAAAAAGCCACCTATTAGCACATTCCAACGTTAATACTATCACGAAAGCCACACACTTTATGAACCACTCAGAGATAACAACAACAGTAACAGAATGCATGGGGTAATATAAAAAAAAAATTAAGTATTTATTTATTTATTTATGCTGCTGATGGAACCCTGGGCCTTGTGCAAGCTAAGCACATGTTCTGCCCCTGAGCTTCACCCCCAGCCCTTAAATTTTTACTGGGGGAACATAAGAAATTTGAATGAATGGAGAGGCATACTGTGTTCCTGAATGAAAGACAACAATGTGAAAATTATCATTTTAAATTCAACTCATCTCTTAAAAATCCCAGTGCACCTATCTAGAAGAATACCTGCCCACAAGTAGCCAGATGATTCTAAAAAGAAGGAAAAAAGAACAATCGTGAGATGGAGTAGGAAGTGTCAGGGAGGTTCGTCAGGAGCATGGCAATAATTAAGACAGTGTCTACCTGGAACCAAATCAGAATTATTAATGAAATAGAATAGAAAATTCAGAAGCAGTATATGTAAACACTTAATATATCATAAAGATAACATTTCACGGTGAGTGGATTATACAATAAATAGTCTGGAGATGGCTAACCTTGGGGGAAAACTTAGAACTGTACCTTACATGTTATGCTAAAATTACAGATAAGTGTAAATGTTAAAAAGAGAAAAAAAATCCAGAAAAAAAATAGGTCAATTTTATATAACTTAAAGGATGGGATTAGTTTGAAAGAATGACAGGTAAGTCGAAAGCTATCTTAGGAAAGAATAGATTTATCTGCATTAAAGACTCAAAATTTCTGTACTTTGAAAACCACAGTAAATAAAATAAGAACAAAATATAAACTTTTTGCAGTCTGTAAGAACAAAAATTATTATTCTTAATACCCAAACCAATAAAAAGATAATCGTCCTATTTTAAATATGAGCAAAGACTATTAATAAGCAAGTGAGCAAAAGAAATTGAAATTACCAACTAATGGAAAACATATTTATTGTTCTTAGTAATAAAATAGTAAATGAAAGTAATGAAAAGGAAGATATAGTACCAATTTCACTTATTAGACTTAAAAAAAATGAAAATAATAATATCTAGGGTTGGAGAGGATGTGGGCAAAGGACATTTCCCTAAAAAGAAGTGCTGGGAGAGTATAAATTTTACACAATTTCTAGGGAAGGAAGATAACCTGACAAAGGCCATGAAAATCTTAAATACTGCACATACCTTGACCTGCAGTTCCTCTCCTAGAGATTTATGCAAAGACAATAATTAGAAGTGTATTTGGGGGGCTGGAGTTGTGGCTCAGAGGTAGAGCGCTTGCCTAGCATGCACGAGGCATTGGGTTTGATCCTCAGCACCACATAAAAATAAAATAAGGGTATTGTACAATTTTATTGTACCTACAATTTAAAAATAAATATTAAAAAAGGTGTGTTTGGGAGTGTAGTTTCAATAAAAATTGAAAATGGCCTAAAAATTTAACACTAAGGAAATGTCAAAAAAAGATTGGGGTGAGGGTGGATGTTGTAGGACTATGGAATGTGATGTTGGTGGTCAAGACCAGGGCTTTGCACATGCTAGATAAGCACTTTACCACTGAGCCATATACCCCTAGCCCCAGGTGTTGGATTAGCAAGCAAAGATATTTTATGTGAATGAGAGTAGGAAAAGCAGATTACAGAACAACATGAATAACATGATCCTAACTTTGTACCCGAAAGGACTATGTATATACGTATATACATATATCTGTTACATATATTATCACCGTTTGGAAGAATAAATACCAAGTATTAGCTATCATGACATGGTTGGTATTTTTATTTTGCTTCTTGTATTTTCTATTTTTCAACAATGAATATGGACTGGTTTTATAATAATTAAATTAAAAAATCACTTTGATCGTAACAGCTGGACAGAGATCAGAGATGTGGACAAAAGATGGCTTTACCAGTTGCTCTCCAGCTTTGTACTAAACTCTGCTTAGAGTGGCTGAAATGTCAAGATAAGGCCCCAGAATTCAGGAACTTCTGCTCTGCAGTGATGCACTCCTGAATCTTAGAAATACTATCCTGCTACCACCCAGTTTCCAAGAAATGAAACCTCCTTTCTCTATTGAAGAGTTGTTCAGAGTGACTTACTGTACTTTGAAAACCACAGTAAATAAAATAAGATGTAAAGAAAATAAGAAAGGGTTGGTCTTCAGATTAAAAAGAAAAACAACAATTTGTTTTCGGGTGGAGAAGGGTGCTGAGGATCAAATTCATCAATTGATCTGGTTGTTTTAAAGTCCTTTTTGGAAACTTTTTTTTTTTTTAAATTGGTGATGGGGTCTCTCATTATGTTGCCTAGACTGGCGTTGAACTCCTTGGCTCCAACGAGCATCCTGAGTACCTGAGACCACAGCTGTGTCACCATGCCTAGCTACCACTCTGTGTTTTACTGAGATCACTGAAGTGGGAGTCGGAACAATATCATCCATTGCAGGCCAAACACACCTGTGAGCTCGGGAGACACCAGCTCTGTTGATAATTATTTCTCAAGTACTTTCTTGGAGACAGAGTTGACTTCAAATAGAGACATGCTAGAATTTGAGTGAAGGGGTACAAAACTAAAAAAAAAAAAAAAGTGGGGAGGAAGCTACTGCAATTTGCTTTCTAGGAGACTTGTGTGGAGGTGCAGTCCCCCTGGGAACCCGCTGGGAAAAAGCTGAGAAGCCAGATATTTGGCAGAGATAGTCAAGTTCGAAACAAAAGCACAGATTAGCCAATAACACCGTCAGGTTCAAATACCAACTCTATAATTTATGTCTACTCACACCCTAAGATGCCCGATGACTGAATTCTAAATGATGCTGAATGGGCACCTCCAGATCCTCTGTGGGTGTGAACAAAACGGGCTATTGAAAACCTGCCAGGGCCACAAACTCTTGAGGGAAAACAACACATGGAATTTAAAGAGAAAAAAAAATGCTATTTTGGCATCTAGTCATAGAAAATAGGATTAGATTTAATTAAAGGGGGGAACCCCGACTCCATCTGGTTCTCTCTGCGTAAGTGCTGGGGAGGGATATTAGAACGAGAGCTGGGATTATTTCTTGGCATTCATGGATTTCCTCCTCAGGGATCAAATACAAAATTCAAACTGACCTTTGTTTCAGAAATTGTAAGCTGGACAATGTTGGCTACCTGAATGTCAGTGTTTTTTGTTTTGTTTTGTTTTGGTACTGGGGGTTTAACTCAAGGGTGCTTAACCACTGAGCCACGTCCCCAACCTTTTTTTGTATTTTATTTTGAAATAGGGTCTTAGTTGCTTAGGGCCTTGCTAAGTTGCTGAGGCTGGCTTTGAACTCACGATCCTCCTGCCTCTGCCTCCCAAGCCGCTGGGATTACAGGTGTGCACCACCATGCCTGGTGTTAATGCTCTCTAGTTACTTCTGCATCTTCGCATTGCTTCTTAAAAATATACTACAGTTCTGTTTTATTTTGTTTCATTTTAACAGTGACAATGAATCCTAAACCTGAAAGGTGCTGATGTTGTCCAAGAGGAGTGGCCACTGAGGGAGCCCGTCTGTCCTGCCCACCGAGGAGGAAGATGAACTTAAATAAATTTCACATCTATGTAGATGCAGAACCTTCTGCTGTTCCTTCTACCACCCACTCCTTTGACGATGGCAACACCTGGACTTGGAAGAAAGAACGATTGAGAGGCGCTGGGAAAGGCCTGGCTGCTGTCCAGCCCTGCTCCTAGGCTGGAGGAGTCCTGTGACACCTTGGCTTCTGATGGGTAGGCACCCCTCCTGGCAGCCGGCTTGCAGCTGCCCTCGCTCTGGCCACCCTCGCTAGGTCCTCCTCACCTGTCAGCTTCATCCCTCAGGGTTTTCATCAGGAAGCTGCTTTATCTCTAGTTTCCTTCTGAGTCACCTTATTACCTAACCACTTTGGATAGTGTCCTCTGTTATTCAAGTCCTCTGATAGGTCAATGGCGTTCAACAGGAACTGTCCTCAAGGACACTTATGTCATGGAAAAGACATCAAACAAAGCAAGCAAGCGCTTCAATGTCTCCACCGTCCCAAGGGTTGGAAAGCACATTTCTACCTGCCAAGAAGATGCAGTGAGAGAGTCCATGGTCCTGATGAGGTGTCGTCAGGTGACTTGTAGACTTGACTTGGCCACATCCAAATGACCCTTGGGAACTTCTCAGAATCTCCAGAGAAAGAACCAAACCCGCACTTTCCTTCTCAGCTAAAATCACCTCTACTAAAGCTCTCTCCCTTATCTGTGATCTATGGGCAGGGAATATGTGCAGGTGGGGACATCTGTCACCCTTCTTCTTCTCCAGGATCGTTGAGGTTATTTGAAACAAACAGATTAGGAACAGGAAATAGTTGTACCTGAGGCTGGTGTTACTCATCGCGCACAGCCTGCTTTCCTGCTGAGCTGGGACCAACCTCCTGTCCCCAACACAGTTCTCCACGAGGTCACTATCAGTCCATCAGAGATGACATTCTACGCGGTATTTATGGACAACCTGTTACTGAAAGCAATGGTGGAAAATGGAGAAGGGTTCATTGGCCATTCCCTCATCACATTAAAATCATCTCCATCTAATCCTTAGTGTTCTCATTCTGACCTCTGAAAAGCAATCTAGCAAATTGAGAGGCCTCAGCTCTCCTAGGACATTTGATATTTTATTCCAGGAAAGAAACCAAGAATGAAAACTTTATTTATTTTGCTAACAGCGTGTAAACTGAAAGGAGATTTGAGGGTAACCAAACTTTTGCTGCTTAATTTGGGGTCTGTGTTTGAAAGGCTGCCTTAATGCAAAGTGAAACTCCTCCACACCTGACTTTTAGGGTTCCTTTAACAAATTTCTTGCCTTTAGAGCTATGCAGATTTTTATTTTTACTTTTGGTACCAGGGATAGAACCCAGGGCGCTTAAACACTGAGCCACATCCCCAGCCCTTTTTTATATTTTATTTAGAGACAGGGTCTTGCTGAGTTGCTCAGGGCCTTGCTTAGTTGCTGAGGCTGGCTTTGAACTCATGATTCTCCTGCCTCAGCCTCCTGAACCCCTGGGAATACAGGTGTGCACCACTTGTCCAACCCTATGCAGATAATTTTAAAGGCAGGGTTCCAAGCCAGCGAGGTCTCTATACAATGAGGCACCAGTGTCTGGTTTGTTTGAGCACTGAAGTCATGTGTCCTGGGACCATGCAGTGCCTTGATAAAAGACAGTCTTTGTGGGTTATAACTTAATAGATTTGTCTGTCATCCTCTCATTAGCACATCCTATGTGACTTTTTGTTTTCGTTGCTGTTTTGCATACTCATAATCAACTTATGGTCCATGGTGATTCTCAGATATTTATGCCAACATTGCTGTTTTCCAGATCATCACACAACTTGTCTATTTTCTGCTTAGCGTTGTTACTTCAAGTTTGTTTCTCATGAACAGTTGGATTCTTAGAAGAGATTCAATTTGCTTTTTGCTCTCTTTAGGCATCTAAGATCTTTGCTGGGCACTCAGTCCTCTAACCTTGATTGAACCCTATCAAATAATGAACTGAGAAGTTCTGAGAAGTATAATGGATCCTGGAATCTCACTTGGATGAAGCAAAATCTTATGAGATGATAAAAACACTTCTCAAAATTTGGCATTTTAAATAACTTCAGATTCCAGAAGATACAAACTTCAGCAACATGTAATTGAGTGTATATCTGAGAAATGTACTGACCTCTATAATTGCACAGTGTGTGAGGCACTTTTTAAAAAGAGGTTCTTCTGGTAAAGTATTCAAGCCATTAATCCTAGCACCCTGCATCTCTTTATTACTATTCAATCAATGTATATCCTTAACAATTCCAAGAATTGCTCTTAACCCCAAACTTAATTTTATGTTTCAGATTATTGCTTGTTAAAAAAAAAAGTCATTAATTTGCTCTAATTGGATAGCCAATAAGAACAAAGTCTGACTTTAAAATATTTTAAAGATATGTAAGTTTTACAGCATTTTTGGGTCATTTTGTGCAAACTATGCTAACAACATTGCCTAATTGAACTCCTCAGGAAACTTGTTTTCATAAATATGTAAAAAATCTATATATGACTCCTGTCCCAATACTCTGATTCCTCCCCCTGGGAAGGACTTTGGTACCCATATGCACCCTTGATATAGCAGAGGTAGCAGAGGCCTCTTCCGACTTCCACAGCTCTAACAACGGAAATTATGTCAACATAAGTGGGTGCTTTAAGAAAATTGTGTCTGTTTATTCCTTTATTTTGATTGTATGAACCATCAATTTAGATCAGCTCTGAAAAAGGTCTATGTTGAATAGATGTTAATTTCATCTTTTGTGCATATTAGTGCATATTCTGAATTTACTGGAGTGATAAGACATGGTTTCCCACTGGAAAATCACTGCTGAAATTCTCTAATTTTTCCCTCCAGTGCTGGAGATTGAACCCAGGGCCTTGCACTTGATAATAGGCAGATGCTCTACAACTGAGCCGCACCCTCAGCCCTGAAATTCTCATTGTGGGGAAAACATCAAAATTTTGTACTGAATTCAGGGGGATGGGAATGGCAAAGACGGTGGAGTGAACTGGACCTAACTTTCCTAAGTTAGTATAGGATACACGACCAGTGAATTCCACATCATGTACAACCACAAAAATGAAGCATATTTTACAAATATGCTCCATGTGTGTATGATATGTCAAAATCTACCCTACTGTCATGTAGAATTAAAAAGAACAAATAAAAAATTTATACTGAATTCAGTTAATACTTGACTTTTTCATAATCAGAAGTCACTCACCATGAATTCTGGGGTTTCCTTTTAACAGCTACAACACATAGTCCAAAGCAGCTTCTCTTATGGCCACGTTTCTGTGACCTACAATGACCACAAGAGTTCCTGTGTATTAGTGAGGACCATCTAATTGGTTATTCGTAACTGCATAACCGAAACCACCAATTGCCTGCCTCGTTTTTGTTTTTGCATTTTGATGTACACTTTGGCATTGCCTTGATACCGTCTTGTCTGCTATCAAAATTAGGTTTTCCTTCTAGCCCTCTTGGGGATTGTTGTTTGTAGGCACCTGGTATTTCTTTTTGCTTTTTTTTTTTTTTTTTGTCTTATTTTCTTTTCTAAATACCATGTCGTGCTCCTGAGATAGCAATTCACATAATTAGGCTTTTTATGAACTCCAAACATGCTTTGAGCTCTTTTTGAAATGATATTTTAAGAAGGTCAATTCCTAAACCAAAGTGCTTAAGATAACATGATTTTAATGTCCGCGTTGTACAGTGTTGACCTGTTTAAGATGATCAAAGGCTTTTTGCTTATTTATGGATGGACTTCAGTTGGTGCAGAGGGCTCGGATAAGTGTATTTCTCAATTCACATGGCATCATCATCATTGTATTTTGGTCTTATCAATAAGTGACTTTTGCAAAAAGCATATTCTTCACAAAGGGAATTTCTTTTGTCTGTGTTGAAAGACTTAATGAATGAATGATATGCTTCTATTATGAACAGTAAGCAACATCTTTTCAGTGTAAAAATCAGTTAACAGTAATCGCTGTATTACTCTGACTTAGATGAAACCCCTAAAATTATAAATAGTAGCAGGAACATGTTTAATAATGACAGGTGTCAGAAGAACAGGATTTATAAATATTCAACAAGTTGAGAAAGATCCTGTAGATCAGTAAGAATTTAATACACATGGTGGCCCACACTTGACGGCTCCGGAGGCTGAGGCAGGAGGGTTTCAAGTTCAAAGCCAGCCTCCTCAATTTAGTGAGGCTGTAAGCAACTTAGTGAGATCCTGTCTCTAAATAAAAAATAAAAACTGGGCTGGGGATGTTGCTCAGTGGTGACCACTGCTGGGTTGAATCCCTGGTAGAGAGAGAGAGAGAAAAAAAGAATTTAATACACATATGTCTTGCATTTAAGATTAACAAAATAATGTTTAAAAATACTGTGCTTTTCTCTTTCATCTTATAAGCAATAAAGTATTTCTTCAGAGGGTCAGTTAGATCAACAGATGTAATATTAGCTCCTTAGCTTAATCCTAGCAATGTATAAATTCTAGCCTGTGAACCACATACAAGAATTGTCCCATGGTCACAATTGGAACTGATTTTTACAAATATCAAGACTGATTAAATCAAAATAAATAATCATATACACATTAATATGTTAAATTGTTCACTCAGCAATGGTAATTTAAAAGCCATTTCTAAATTTAATTGAAAAAGCTCTATAAGATAGGAGGAAAGAATATCTCCTACATTCATTTCATTGTAATTGATGAATACCAATATTCAGAACAAAAGTTTATTTGAAGGTAAGATACTTGCTGACTATTTGTTTACTAAGAAAAAAGGGGTGAATTATGCATCTTTCCAAAGGAAAAAATTTTTAATTTAATTTCTGTGATTATAAAAAGAATTGATACATTTATAATTGCACTGTTTTGATCCATATCCCTTTTTAAGTAAACGAAACAATACCAATTCAAAAAATTTGTATAGAATTGAACTTGCTTCATACAAAATTTTCTAGCCTAAAAATTAAGTGAATTTCCTGCATTTCTAGATATTCTTCTTCTTCTCTTTATTTTCCTTACAAAACATTTTATTAAATGGAAGATTGAAATTGTAATTGTTTATAGGAATGTGGTTTTAAAAAATATTTTCAGTAAGAATGACAAAATCAGCCGGGTGTGGTGGCGCACACCTATAATCCCAGCGGCTCTGGAGGCCAAGGTAGGAGGATTACAAATTGAAAGCCAGCTTCAGCAACTTAGTGAGGCCCTAAGCAACTCAGCGAGACCCTATCCCTAAATAAAATATTACAAAGGGCTGAGGATGTGACTCAGTGGTTAAGCACCCCTGGGTTCAATCTCCAATATCAAAAAATAAAATTAAATAAAAATAACAACCAAATCTTAGAGATGAAAGCTTCTCTTTTTCCTAACCACTAACTTTTCTTTGTGCTTTTCATTCTAACTTCATCTTCTACAACTCAGCATCATAACAGAGCAAGGCTGAGTGGCAGATTCATGGCATGTAGTTAAGGTGGAGATGTCCTTGAGTAGGACACATTCTCTCAGGTCACAGAGACCAGCCAGCCTACTGACAAATATTGGGCAAGAAGATTCCTTCTATAGTCCCCAACTAAAGAAAAGCCTTATCAGTTATGGCTTCAACATACCCCTAGAATCTACCGCGCAGCGTGTTTCCTTCTTATTTTAACCAGAACTAACTGGTGGGACACATCAGCCTGGAGATGGCTGGACCCCAAGAGCAGACAGTCCCCAAGAGAAAAGATGCCAAGAGAGAACAATCATCTTGACTAGCATTTATTTTTTATTTTTATTTATTTTTTAGTTATAGGTGGGCACAATATCTTTTTTTAAATTTTATTTTTATGTGGTGCTGAGGATCCAAGTGCTCACGCATGCTAGGCGAGCACTCTACCACTGAGCCACGGCCCCAGCCCTTGACTAGCATTTATCATATGTCTCAATTAGGAATTAAATTCAGCCTCCCATCCTAGAGACAAAAAATAAAGTTTTTTGAAGTAACATTTCTCAAACATGAAAAAGTACTAAGGTGAGCTGATCACAAGGTAGTTCTGTGGTCGTCTAGGACCTAGGATCCTTCTAATCATCCCCCACTTGCATTAGCATAGGGCTTCTGTCCTCAGGGTCACCGCATGATCCAAGTGGTAGTTGTCACTCCAGCATGATATTCACAGGAAGGGGAAGGAGGAGCCCAAGGAGGAGCCTCCCAACGAGGTCAGCTGCTTCGAGGGAGATTTTCTTCCAACCCAGTGAAACAATTCTGTCCACATGTCATTGGCCACCGTATCTGCAAGGCAACAGGGAACAGAGGGTCTCTAGGTTGGTGCATTATCATGTCCAACGATGGGGGTTCTGCTTGTTTCACAAAGCAGGTGTCTGATGAGATAGCAATCCTGGCCAACGGAGACCATCTCATCTGAATCCTAATTATATTTATAAGGTAGGTTTAGAGAACGCATGAACTTGTTCCTTGCTTCTCCAACTGGGAGGCGCCTGCTGCTTACCATTGGGCTGCACTGCCTCCTCAACAATCAGCTGTAGGAAACCGTTTAAGGGTTGGTCTTGTCAAGAAGGCCTGGGAACAGGCACAGCCTGAGATAAGAAGTAACAGAGGCTGCAAGATGGCAGTGAGGGTAGAACCCCAAGCCCAGAAGAAATGGTAGATCACACTATGAAAAAAGCCAGGGCTTGCCAGATGTGGCGGTGCAGGCCTGCAATCCCAGCAGCTCAGGAGGCTGAGGCAGGAGAATCACGAGTTCAAAGCCAGCCTCAGCACTTTAGGGAGACTCTAAGCAACTCAGTGAGACCCTGTCTCTAAGTAAAATACACAAAAGGGCTGGGGATGTGGCTCAGTGGTTAAGTGCCCCTGCGTTCATTCCCTGGTCAAAAAACCCCAGGATTTGGAGTCACAGTAATAAGGGGGGGGGGGAAAACAATCATCTTAGTTTATGGATCTAGGTACAGGGAGGGTTTTGGGGATTGGAGGAAAAAAATAAAATCCGGGGCTGGGGTTATAGCTCAGCGGTAGAGTGCTTGCCTTGCACATGTGAGGCACTGAGTTTGATCCTCAGCACCACATAAAATAAAATAAATAAAGATATGGTGTCCATCTTAAAAATAAATATTTAAAAAATAAAATAAAATCCCCTATTTCTAGAGCAGAGAAAAGAGGATATGAGTTGTCCTCTTTAAGAGTGCAACAGCAAGGCACGCCAAGATGCTCTCAGGAGCAGGTGTTCAGCGCTAGAATTTTCAAGCATTTAAAGTAGTATGAAATAGCACCTCTTTCATAGCCGCAGTCATTTTGGCTCTCAGAATTCCCGAGCCTGGGATGAACATAGGACTTGTGGAGACAAGGAGAAGCTGAGGTTTGGCCTGAGCTCAGGTGGCCCATTTCTGGATGAACCCAACCTTTTTTTTTTTTTTTTTTGGTACCAAGGATTGAACTCAGGGGCACTTAACCACTGAGCCACATCCCCAGCCCCACCCCCTGCTTTTTTTTTATAGAGAGACAGCACCTAAGTTTCTTACAGCCTCACTAAATTGCTGAGGCTGGCTTTGAACCTGCCATCCTCCTGCCTCAGCCTTCCTAACCTCTGAGATTATAGGCGTGCACCACAGCATCCAGTTTGCACTGGCATTTGTACTTCCCAAGACGAAAGATGCCACGGGATTGACGTGTCAGCCATCTGTTGCCGTCTAACAAACCACCTCAAAACTTTGAAGCTGAAAACCACGAAAGTCAGTTATTTTGCTCATGAATCTGCGGTTTGGGTGGGGTTGAGTGGGAATGGGGTATTCTCCTCCACATTCCTTCAGCCTGCAGCTCCACTCAGGCTGGGGTTGCACTATCAGATGGCTGCGTCATGTGCTGGTTGTCAGATAGGAGCCCAGCCAGGTCTGTGGGCCAGAGGCTTTGGTTCCTACCATATGATCCTCTCCCCACGGAGTCTGGGGCATCTTCAGAGTATTGGAGCCCGTTTCCAAGAGCTTGTACTTCCAAGTACAAGGAAGAAGACTTAGAAGTCCTATAACACTGCTCTGCCATACTTTGTTGTTTGAGGGAGTTACCAAGTCCTACCCAGGTTCAAAGGGAAGAGGGCATACAGCCCTCCAGTCAATGGGAGGAATGTGAAGGTCCACAGGGAGTTGTTGCAGGCAACTTTAGAAAAGATGATCTGACAAAATTGGTGTATCTTCATGAAGATGAAGGAAACATATTAGGCAATCTCTTATCAAGTAACCTGAGATGTCCACTGGGTTCCTGAGTCCAATGCCTGTGTGGCTGTCTTTGGCTTGGACATACTTCCCTGGTCCAATAATACATGCTAAGCAGTAGAACTAGTTTTACCAAATACATGAGCCATGAACTTTGGCACAGAATGAGGTGGATCAAACACACAGGAATTTATGAGCACTCTTTGTACATGAGGTTCAAATGGGAGCAGGGGACTTCGTGAGCACCGAAAGGGTAGGGTCTTCACTCCTCTCTGTTCCTTGAAATGTTTCACATTAGTGGGTGCTCAATCACAGTGGAAATATGGACCATTTAAAGTGCAAAGAGTCGGGGCTGGAGATGTGGCTCAAGCGGTAGCGCGCTCGCCTGGCATGCGTGCGGCCAGGGTTCGATCCTCAGCACCACATACAAACAAAAATGTTGTGTCCATCAAAAACTAAAAATAAATATTAAAAAATTCTCTCTCTCTCTAAAAAAAAAAAAGTGCAAAGAGTCACTGTTACCTAAATACTTAATCAGTTATTACTGTTGTTGACTGCAGAAACCAAACATTTTCTATCACAACTTTCTTCCAAGTGTCCTGGTTTAATTGCATTTTCCTCATCTTCTATCTAAGGGATCTAGATACCATTCTTTATCTCATTGTGTGTGTGTTTTATTTTTAGCCACCTCAAATACAATTTGGAAGGAGGCAGAGAATGATCGTAATTGAACTAACAAGCAAGAGAAGGTGGATATACAGCGGCCCCGCTTTGGAAAGTAAAGGAGTGTTAGGGAAGGAGCCTGAAGGTCATTAAAAGTCTGGAAGCAGCTCTTTCTATCTCAGGTCTGGGCTCCTCTTTTTTTGCCCTATGAAGGGTCCACAGAGAAAATAAATACAGGTGTATTTTTAAAAAAGAGAATCTTAGCAGCCTGGGAGGCTGAGACAGGAGGATCACGAATTCAAAGTTAGCCTCAGCAATTTAGCGAGGCCCTAGGCAACTCAGTGAGACCCTGTCTCTAATTTAAATATGTATACTGTTTTAGTCAGCTCTTTCATTGCTGTTGACCAAAAGACCCGACCAGTACAACTATAGAGGGGGAGAAGTTTATTTAGGGGCTCACGGTTTCAGGGTCTCAATCCATAGACTGTAAGCTCTGTTCCTTGAGGCTTGAGGTGAGGCAGAACATCATGGCGTAAGAATGTGGCAGAGAGAAGCAGCTCATATGGTGATCAGTAAGCAGAGAGAGACTCCACTCTCCTCCTATACAGAATATATACCTGATAGCCATTCCCCACTGAACCACTCCTCCAGCCACACCCCACCTGCCTGCAGCCAGCACTGTTAATCCCATCAAGGGTTGATTCACTGATTAGGTTAGTGCTAGAGCCCAGTCATGTCTCTCCCAAGTCTTCTTACATTGTCTCACTCATGAGCTTTTGGGGGACACCATATATAAACCATAACATTGAAAAAAAAGGCTGGGGATGTGGCTCAGTGGTTAAGTGCCCCTGGGTTCAATCCCCAGTATAAAGAAGAGAAAAGAAAAGAAAAGAATCCATTTAAAGTGATGATACAAGCACAAGACAAGGATTGTTTCTTGTCTGGGGAAGAAGAAAGATGAGTAAAATTTAAAAAACACCATAAATCGTCCCTCAGATGTTCCCCAGCCATCACTGAATGTAAGATGAAGGCCACCAAGCCAGCTGGTGGGGTGGGGTAGTAACCAGGAGCCCACATCTTACCTCTGTGGAACCTACACAGAAATACCTCCAGAGTGTTATAAGTGACAACTGACTGCTTTTTACCCTCATAACTTGGTTCTTGACTGCCCCTAAGGGCCCATGTATTAAAGATCTGGTCCCCTGGGAGATGCTATTGGGAGGTGGCAGGACCTCTAGGAGGCGGGGCCAGGCAGGAAGGTCTTGGGACATTGAGGATGTCCACTAGATCTGAATGATGGGACCCCGGCCTCTCCTTACCTGCTTTTGCCTCCTGGGCGTGAGATGAACAGTTCCACTCGGCCAAGTGCTCCCACCATGACCTACTGCCTCGCCACAGGCCCAAAGCAGCGGGGCCAATAGGTCAGGCCCTAAAAGTTCCAAAACAGTGAGACAAAGTAAGTCTTTTCTCTAAGTTGATTTCTCAGGTATGTTTTTATGGTGACGGGAAGATACAATCTGCACAAATTGGGAAGGTGACTATCACAATAACTCACCACGGCTCCATTCCAAACGGACCTCTGTCCCCCGTCTTTGCTGGCACTGTCCAAACCTCTGCCTTCAGGCAGCTGGAGTGGAGTATTGTGGAGAAGCAGCTAAATGAATAAGGGTCAGGATTTATGTTCTAAGTGGAGCAGGGAGAGCCAGGGTGGAAGGATGAGAGTTCTTAGGAGGTTCTCTGACAAAAGAGGAAAAAGTAAGATTCGTTGTTAAAGCCAAGAGGGCAGGAGAGGGGTTAAGCTGTGGGACAGAAATTAAAGGCAAGAGTTAGACAGAGGCAGACTGGAAAGGGGGGTTTCCCTGGAGCTGAGCTATCTGGAGTCGCCTTAGCTGGTGGCTGGATGCACTGGGAACAGTGGTCAGCCCCGCCTAAGAGTGGAAAGGTGGAAGACACTTTATCTAGTGTCTTCTCCTTGCCAAAGTAGGCCACCCTCCATGTTTGTTGGGCCACCCAGTTCCAGAAAGACAGGTAGATAACAGACCCTTTGTTGGGACCAATGCTTCCACAGCAGCAAGGCACCCTCCTGACTCCTACCAGGGCTTTGCAAGGGATGGGAGATAACTGGGTCCCCTGAGGTAAGGGGGGTTGCCTCCTATACCTTTGGCCATATCCAAAGGCCCAACACTTTCCTTTGAGAAAATTTATTTCCTAAAAAATACACTTCCTAACTTTCTCTTCCTTCCATGTAAGCTGGGTGCTTGGTTTAAATAAAACTTTGGGGGGTGGAGCTGGGGTTGTGGCTCAGTGGTGGAGTGCTCACCTAGCATGTGCAAGGCCCTGGGTTCAATCCTCAGCACCACATAAATATAAAATAAAGATATTTTAAAAAAAACAAAACAACTTTTGGTTTCAGTGAGAAAATGTCCAACTCAAACTAGTACTGATCAAAAGGAAACTTATGTGTTCATGTAACCAAATTGGGAAAGGCTAAAAGTGGCTGGTTCCAGCCAGAACCCAGCACAACTGCAACAAGGAACAACCAGACCAGAGACTCAAACACAGTAAGGGATTCTCCAGTTTTTTTTGTTTGTTTGTTTGTTTTGTTTTTTCTTCATAATGTGAGACTGACTTTCTCTACATGGCTGTAACTACGGCAGCATCTAGCAGATGCAGGGAGCTTTCCATCTTTATCACTAGAGTAGAAGGGACCTGCCTTCTCCCTGGATCCATTGGATAAAAGTTCCCTGGGAGGAAATCGATTAGACTACCTGGGTTTCATGCCTGCTATGGTTTGTCCCCACCAAAACTCATACTGGGGCTTAATTCTTCAATGCAGCAATGTTAGGAGGTGTGTGCGTCTTGGGGGTGGAGCCCTCATGAATGGATTAATGCCTTTCTCACATGAGTGAGTTTCTGTTCAAGCGGGACTAGATCTAACTCTAACCTGAGAGTGAGGTGTTGGAAAGCAAACCTGTCACTCATGTTTCACTTCTTTTGCATGTGCTCACATTTCTACCATGCTGCAAGTAGCATGAGGCTATCACCAGAAGCCAAGCAGATGTTGGCACCATGTTTTTGGACTACCTGACCTCCAGAACTGTGAAGAGAATAAAGCCTTTTTCTTTATAAATTACCCAGTTTCAGGTAGTTTATTTTAGCAACAGAAAATGCACTAAGACAATGCCTAGCCCTGGGAAATGACTATTCAACTGACTATGAGGGACATTTTCCTCATGAAGTGTGGGTGGCTGAGTGGGTAGCTAGAAGGCTAGGTGGTTGGGTGGTTGGTTGTGGGGGGAATTGTCTCTAAAGGGAATCAGAATGTCATGACCAGATGTCTGGCATTGGGGACCAGCCAAGCACAGAGGTCCCCATCACTACAAATGTTTCTCCTTTCCTTCCCATTCATCCACATCCAGAGAGTGAGAATTTGAGAATGGGCCAGGTACTCTGCATGGTAGATTTACTGATGCTTTTCATTTCCTTCTCTTTGTTTTTTTTTTTTTTTTTGGTACAGGAACTTGTGATCCTATTGCCTCAGCTTCCTGAGCCACTGGGACTACAGGCGTGTGCCACAGTGCCTGGTTCTCTGTATATTTTTAATATTTTCCAAATGTTCTACAGTATATATCTATTGCATTTGTAATTTTTTTTTTAAGGAAGAGAGTACATACACTTTAATTAACCCAGACAGAAATATTAAGAACCAAAACAGAAAAATCCTGATTTTAGGTCTAATGCTCTTCTGGCATACATGCTTTTGAAATTTATTTGCAAAACCAAATAAATATATTTACATGTATGTGACCAGGACTTTTTTTTTTTTTTTTTAGGAAAAAGAAATGATTCTGAAAGGGAGTATAGGAAACCTTTGAAGATTTGCTTCATAGTATGGAATGTGTGTTTTTTTCTTCCTGCATTCTTGTAACCCAGGCTGCGTTGGATGTAGTAGGCTCTTTTTCTTTCAGGAACTATGGGAGAATCGGGGAAGCTTCTGTGCCTCTGTATTTAACTGAGGCCCAATTCCACATTTTGAACAGGAGAGAAGGTGGTTAAGGCAGTCGTCAACACTCTGAGAAGGTGGATGGAGGCAAGGGAGAATTGGAAATATTTTCTCTCCCCATAACACATAATGTCTAATCCTTTGATTTCCTTTCATTTTTTTTTAATTGTAAGGTTCATTTAACACGAAAGAATATTTTAAATAGGGAGCAAAAATATGCTTTACATTTAGTTCTTTTCCTGGTGCACTTCTACAGTTGCCAAATCTCTACAATTAACATGTATGTACATCTTTCAGAGTAAAAAAGTTTTGGAAAATAAAGTCCCGTTAAAATTTTTTAAATCAATTTTTAATTCCACCAGCCAAGTGCGCCGGTGTCTCTGACTATCTCTTTCTAAGGAAGGGAAAGTAAGAAGAGAGCTGGCTGGGGGGCACAGCTGGGTGTAACAGGGGGTGTTTCCTAAAGGAGGGGTGGGGGCACACACACACAGCGTTTCCTGAAAAGACTGGAAACAGTTGACCAGTTGCTATTAGAGGGTGAGATGGATCAGTGGGCAAGGAAGCCAATCAGAGGTCCTGGACGGGGCTGGGATTGTAGCTCAGTGGGTAGAGCGCTTGCCTAGCGAGTGTGAGGCACTGGGTTCCATCCTCAGCACCACATAAAAATAAATGAATAAATAAAATAAAGATATTGTGTCAAAAAACACATTGTGGGGGGAAAAAAAGTTCTGGACAAAGGAAGTACTAGTAGGCCATCCTAAAGATGCCACTGGGATTCATCACTCAGCAAACATTAACCAAGTGCCTGATCTGTATCAGATGTCAGAGATATGGAGAGGAGGAGAAATAGCATAGAAAAAGAAAAAATGTTCATAGGGGCTGGAGCTGGATTTGAGTTCAAAGGTTGCTGTATACCTCTGGGCAGGTTGCCTCACCTCTCTGTGCTCTAGTTCCCTTGTAACATTTTTTTAAAAAAACTTCATGAGTCAATCTCTATGAATACTCTGAACAGTAAATGCCAAGCGTAAGGATTACATAGTGCCAGTTGTCATCATTATGGTCTCTGCACCTACAGAGTTCACAGTTCACTGGTTTACACAGCACACACAGGAAGCTGGTGGACTAAGAAGGACACAAGTTCATTTGTTAGAGCTGATGGGAAGCTCCTCCACTGAACACTGTGCAGAGATCATGCTGCCCAGAAGTCCAGCCCCAGGCACCGCCCAGTAAGAGACTGAGTCACAGTGGCATTCTTACACAGTGACAGGAACCCTGTGATGATGACGAAGACCTTTAGTCAGTACTCACTCTAGGACAGGCACTTTTCAACGTGCTTTCTGTAAACTAACTCAAGTTACACGCACCTTGTCATCTCCATTGTGCAGACAGAGAAACTGAGGCACAGAGAGATGAGGTAACTTGTTCACGGGCACTGGTAGAGCTGGGATTTGAACTGAAGTAGTTTATGTCCAAAATTAGCTTGTATGTTACCCAGGTCACCTTCAGTGTACCACTGACATCCATCGACTATGAAAGAATTATGTAAGTGGTTCAGGAGGCTGAGGGCAGGAGGACTGCAAGTTCAAGGCCAGCCTCAGCAATTTAGCCAGGCCCTGAGCAACTTAGTGAGATCCTGTCTCAAAATAAAAAATAAAATGGGCTGGGGATGTGGCTCAGTGGTTAAGCGTCCCTGGATTCAATCCTCAGTTCAAAAAACAAAAATTATACAATGTGACCAGGGGTGCTACTCACCAACTTATCTGAGTATCATTCATTTGCTTTAGTTGACCTTGATTGAGTCCCTGGTTCTAAGGAGAGGAATAGTTGGGTGCTGAAAGGAAGCCAGGATCTTTTTGTCAAGAAGCTATTTTGGGTGATCAGTCTTCTTTTTAAAAATATTTTTATTATTTATACGTGGGCATAATAACTTTATTTATTTTTTATATGGTGCTAAGAATCAAACCCAGGGCATCACGCATGCTAGGCAAGTGCTCCACCACTGAGCTACAGCCCCAGCCGGGGAGATCAGGAAGAGACAGGCTCCCCGCTGGGGAGCACAGAGACTGTTCAGTGACACACAGGAGGAAGAATGACTCTAGTGGGGGGAGGGCAATTTGGTTTGCAGAGGGGGTCTCCATGGACAAACGGTCAATTAAGAAAATGGTATTCCAGTCCTAGGAAGAGCACAAGGAAAGACCTAGGCCGGCATAGGTGGCACAGTTTGGCTGAAGCATGCAGGCGAGGGAGAGTGGCTGGGGTCTGGTGAGGGTCCCATGGGCTTCCAGGGCCACACTGTGGGGGCCTTGAACTCTGGCTCAGGAAGGTGGATTTCAATTAGGAGGAAATGGAGGTTCTTGAAAGCCTTTGGGAATGGGAACAAATTGATCAGCAGTGGGATTTGGAAGAAGGATCCTCAGTACTTGGAGAGTGAGTTTCAGAAAGAGAAGTCACCAACCAGGGACAGAGGCCACGGCAGAGGGAACCAAGAGAAGAGGGGAGGAGAAATAGGAAGGGCACCGCAGAGATGATCGGCCACCGCCCTCCTCTCTTTACCACTGAGCCCCCTTGGAATACCCCCCCACTGTCTGGCCAGCAACCCGCGCTGACGAGGTGAGCTGGGTTCAGAAGAGCTGGCTGCAGCATTAGGCTAAGAAGCAGGGGAAAACGCAGGCCACAGAAGTGATTTTCACATGGAGGACAGGACTGCTCTGTGACCTTGAAGGTCAGCTTCCAC